AGTTATAGTCGATCTGAACTATTCCTAATTTCTTTCTCAAATTCAAGAATATATCGATCTTAAATCATTTGGTGAAAATGTCGACCAACTGTGCTTCACTTGAGCAATGTCTAACTTCAAATTCACCTCAATTTACCTTGTTTTTCTCCCATGTCTTCAAGTATCATGCGAAGCCATATAGCTTAACTCGTTGCTTCAGCAGCAGCCACACACTCTGCTTCTACTGTTGATTGTGCAACTGTAGCTTGCTTCTTCGACGCCCAAGAGAAAATTCCCGATCCTACTGAGAAAGCATAGTCAGAGGTGCTCTTCATGTCATCTACTGAACCTGCCCAATAACTATCGATGTAGTCAAGTAATCCTGAGTTGGTTTCGGTAGTGTATCATATACCAAACTCTTTTGTTCCTTGTAGATACCTTAAAATTCTTTTTCCTGCTCCAAAGTGTATTTGACTTGGGCTTTGCATGAATCTTGATAGAAGACTTATAGCATACATTATGTCTGGCCGTGTAGCTGTCAAATATAGAAGGCTTCCAATTAGACTTCGATATTTGGATACATCAGCTTCTGGTGTTCTATCATTCTTCTGTAGTTTCTCATTTGTTATGAGTGGAGTAGCAACAAGTTTGCAACCGTATATATTGAATTTCTTAAGTAAGCCTAATGTGTATTTCTTTTGCGAGATGAATATCCCTTCATTTCTCTGACTTACCTCTATACCGAGGAAGTAACTCATCAAACCAAGGTCGGTCATCTCAAAGGTCTTCATTATGTCTTCTTTGAACCCCATCATCATCTTGGTATTGTTTCGCGTGTAGATAAGGTCATCTACATATATAGAGAGAGTAAGAGAGTGTATTGACCTTGAGACTTGATGTAAAGTGTAGGCTCACTCTTGCTCCTCCTGAATCCTTGATCTATGAAATACTGATCAATTCTGCTATACCGTGCTCGAGGTGCTTGCTTCAAACCGTAAAGTGCTTATCTTAGTCTTAACACTTTGCTTTCTTCGCTTTCAGAAATGAATCTTTGTGGCTGCTCCACATAGATCTCTTCTTCAAGTACACCATTGAGGAATGCTGATTTGACATCTAGTTGTTGGATACTCCATCCTCTTTGTGCCGCAATAGCTATTAGAGCTCTAATGGTATCAAGACGAGTTACTGGTGCAAATGTCTCATTGTAGTCAATCCCAGGTTGCTGTGAGTAACCCTTAGCTACTAACCTTTCCTTGTGTTTCTGTATGCTGCTCTTCATGCTCTGCTTGTTGAGAACAGAAATCGGTGTTGCTTACCAAGGAGACATCCTTCACACACTTCATTATTCTCCTTTATGCTTGGAAAATCTCTCATCATGTTCTTCTCATGTAACAACTTTAAGGAATGTGTGTTGAAGTGGCCAAATCTTTGATGCCGGAGCCATGAATCATCAACTTGTACCTTCATGGCAATGTTAGTTGTATGTTTTAAATTTAGCGAGAAGCTTCTATTGCTCTTATTCATCTTCACTTGGATTATCTCAGACCACTACGCCAAAAGTAAGTTTTAACAGCGCACCTTAGACAACATTTTTGTACAAAAACGCTGCTATAAGTGAATAAAAAAAACACGGAAAACGTATAAAATAATTAGTAAATGCTGCTAAACATATGACCTTAGACAGCGCTGCTAAAGGATTGCTTTAGAAAGCGCTTTATCATAAGCGCTGGCAAAGGGCCACTTTAGACAGCACTTTAAGAAAGCGTTGTCTAAAGTCATAAAAAATAAAAAATAATAATAGAAAAGCGCTGCTAAAGGTCACTATTAGCCGACGATTTCAAAAGCACTGTCTAAAGTCCATATTAGCCAGCGCTTTTAGAAAGCGCTATCTAAACCCTTATAAGTCAGAATTAAAAAAACAGAACATTTGTATTCACAATATCACTATCACACGCAAACATAAACCCTTTCCCTCGCGAAACTCATTTCCGTCTCCGTCTCAAATCGTCCTCCGTCGTTCGCCGTCGTACCTTCCTCCACCGTCTCGCTCCGTTTTCCTCCACCCACACCGGCCGGTTCTCAAGGTATGTTCTTTATTGAAAATGTGTTTAACTCCATTGAAAATGTGTTCTTTAGCATTTTTAGCATTTAGCATTTTTAGCATTTTTTGGATATATGACAGCATTTGATAGGGCTTGATATACAATAGCATTTAGCATTTTTAGCATTTGGTAGGGCTTTATATATAACAACAACATTTTTAGCACTTAGCATTTTTAGCATTTTTTGGATTCTTGGTTCTATGTTTTGGAATATAAAACATGATATATGATGGTGAAACATGATATAAAACATGATATCTTGGTTCTATTTTTTGGATTCTTGGTTCTTGGTTCTGATTCGCTTTTATATTGGGTTTATGTTTATGTTTATTACAGGTTATTAGATGACTACTAACGACGATCACCCACGTGATGATTCTGTGCATGATGGAGATAAGGTCGTTAGTAAAACGGAAATGGAATATAGAAGAGAAATAACAATAATGAAGAGAATAACACGGGATAGAGACCAAAGCATAAAGTATGAAGTGCATTAGAGCCAAGAAGGCCAACTCATTGAGCCTAACGGTTCAACATTGACAAGTTATCTCGGTTCCGTGGTAAGAAGAGAAATTTCAATCACATGTGAAGATTGGAGAGCAAGAGTGTTGGACGACGCTAAAGATAAAATATGGAGTGAGATACAGGTACCATATGTGATGTTAATTGTTTTTAATGACGATTATGTCTCTAAATTACTTATACTAATGCACTTTGTTTATGATTTTCGTAGAGGTCGTTCATCATTGAGGATACAAGGAGAAATTATATTCTTAAATTGGTCGGGAAACTATATAGAAGCTTTAGAGCTTTCTTGTCAAACAAGTTTCTAAGGGATGCAGATAAAATATTTGTTGATGCAGAGCTTGAGGAAATATGCTTATTTGATTACAGCTGAAGAATGGGAAACTTTTAAATCGAAAAGAAGTACCCAAAAATTTGAGAGCTTGAGTGTCGTAAATCGACAACGAGCTTCAAGTCCAGCATATCCATACAGAAAAGACCGTATGGGATATGCACGATTACAACAATCTATTGTAAGTATCTATAAATTGCAAAGTATCTTTAATATATACACGCTTATATTTAATCATGTTTTTTGACTTAATGTGTAGCTAACCAAAGAGAATAATTCTGAAACATCTCTTTCAGAATACATTTTGTGGAGGGAAGCACATGTGTGTAAGGATGGAGCTGTTGAAGAAAAAGTTCAACAAATTTTCGAGAGATGTGTAAGTATAACATTATTTATTTAATTACATCATACTTTTATTTATTTAATTACATCATTCTTTTATTAACATATCATTCTTTAATTACAATATTTATATGAATTTCAGGAGAGTTTTTTCCGGTCTATACCTCCAGACGAAGATACTGATTGCAGGAGAATACTCTCACGAGCATTAGATATTCGAGAGTATTCTGGTCGGATGAGGGGTAAAGGATTTGGGATCACTCCAACATTCTTGAAGAAAAAAAACAAAGACAAAATCTCCAAGCAATAAAGAACTGCAGGAGAAGTTGGAAAAGTTACAACAAGAAGTCTATGAGCTGAGAAAGGAAAAGGAAATCGATCAAGCTACAGACTTTAAAGATACTAGTGACAAAGCTAGTATCAATGGTAACTTTGGACAAAATATTCCCGAGGGAATTATATACCATCTTTATAAATTATAAAACCATGTTTATTAACTATATAACCATGTTTATTAATTATATAACCATATTTATTAAATTATAGGGCATTTCCCGGTGTCAACTTTATTTGTCTACAACGACTTATCGGATGGTTGGCAAGGGAAAAGTGTATAATATCTCGGGAGAAATGCTTCACCATAGATCCCTCCCAGAGAGATTTTTGAATGTATCGGTCGACGTCGTTTTAGAGGGGGGTGCGTTGTTACTACTACCTGACGATGTGGCGGATGCAACATTGGTGACGGATGCAATAGGATCATTTGTTGAATGGACATCAAGCCTCGTTTACGTAGATAATGAGGTATGCTTAAAATCGTTTACTATTCAAATTTTTATGGCAATTATACTTACAAACCTAAATATTGTTTTAATTATTATGTAACATACCTAAGAGACAATCATACAAAGTCAGCAGATATTCAACATCAGCCAACTAAGACAAGAAAATTTCAAGTAGTTAATCCAAAACAATGCTATAGTATATAGATCAAATGTTAATATTTTGATAGAAACTTGGATTTCTTTCAAGTTTCAAGTAATCAATTAAAACACATAATATACCATAGTAAATTTTTTTATCAGCATTCATAAAAAAGAGAACTTCAATAAATAAATCAAGTATAACATTTGGGCATTTTCAAGGAAGGGAACCTCAATGGTCATTGTCTCTAGTCCTTAAGAATGGTACATAATATATTTTGCAAATTCGAACTCAGGTTTTGTGCCTCTGTAACCTCTAATGCAACATATTTTGAACTGTGATGAAATGTATTCTGGAACAGTAGGAGAATGATTTCAACAATAGTTACAAATATTCTTTCCATACCCACAATCCTGTCAAAAGCTCACATAATTTTTGATTAAAAAAATACGTTGAATTAGAGTTGAAAAAGAAAACAAATTGGAAACATCAAAACCTGAATGATAAAATGCGGGAGCATTTATGAGTAAAGGAATGAATTGAAATCTTTGTTTTCTTGCAAGTAAAGAAATTCGTGAAAGCTTGTGAAGTATTTGAAGCATACATGGTTGTAATCGAGAGCTAGAATGGTTTCCATCTCTTTGAGAGGATGCTTCTTGTGGCAGCTTGTTTGGTTTGGAGAAAAGTGAGAATGTAGCGCAGAATTGAGTCCGGCAATTCACTGAATCTGTCAAATTTAGGGACTGATACTGTCAAATTCACCATCATATATTCCGGGCTTCAACAAATATTTCCTTCTACCATTCAATAAAATCCAAGTTGTTGGGACTGACAAACACTATTAATCGACGACAATATTTTATGTCTACATAGACAAGTCTGGGAAGGGGGTCTCGCGGCTGTGCGGCTTTCGTCAATTCGCGTGGTTTCGGTTCATTTGGACCAGTTTTGCGAGTGGTGACGCCGAGATGTGTGAGTTGACAGCGTTCGATTGCGGGTGGTGGTCGTAAGATCCTTGGTACGCGGTGGTGCAATTTGGAGCTCGCGCGGATTGTTTCATGGTCGGAGCAGTCGCAGTTTCGTCGTTGGATCCACATCTCAGAGACGTGAGGGCGCGGTGTTGGGAGTGGTTTCGGGGAAGACATCGTCGTTGATTGGAGGTGGACGGAGAAACCGTGGTTGCGGCGGCAGCTATGTTGCAGCCGAAGTCACTGGTTGCTGCACAGGTTTTAACTGATATTCTTCTTGGTTGTTTTTTGATCTGCATTCAACAACAAACACAAACATAAAACAAAACAAAGGAAAAAAAATGTTTCAATTAAAATGATAGCTTTTGATTACCGGCGTCGTTTCTGATTGGCAGTGTGCGATATTGTCTTTGGTTTTTTATTCTGTGACTTATTTGAAGTTTTGGATTTACTGGTTGGATGTGATGTCGTGTTTGCCAGCAGAGGCGCTATAAGTTGTCGTTGATGGTGTATGCGAGAAGCACAGATGAGAGAGCTACTTGTCAAAAGCGCTTCCTATCACGAATTCTTCTTTGATCTGTTTCAAATCTGTAGATCTGAAAAAATCAGAAATTTCATAAAAGAGAAATTTTTTGTTATAGCTACATCTCTAGACCGTGTTAAGAGGAGAAAACTAAATTTTGATGCTGATAAAAATTGTGTTGGCTAGCTTCATAGAATACTGTGAATTTTCAATGAAAAGCTTATGTTGAAAAAAATGGTCTGCAGGTCTCTGAATTCATGAAAAAAGATTTGTGTTATGATCGGTGATTTGAACTTGCAGTGGGTGTAAAGTTCATGAAGATCTGTGCGGGTTTTATGCTAGGATTTTTGTTTGTAAAGAAAAACTTAAATTTTGTTAGTAATCTCTACTATAGTAAAAACAGAGGTTTGAAAAGTTACTTAATGTACGAAATGATAAAGTTGTTATTACAAAATATAATTTGAAAACTTATATCATTAGATAAATGTTCATCATATGATAAATTAAAACAAAAACAAAAAAGATAAAATCGAAAATAAAATTAGGAGGTCTCGTATGCAATCATCGGCAAAAAAAAATTGTTGTTTGTAAATGCGCAGAAATAAAAATGATTGTTGAAACAGTAAAAATATCTAAAGTATATCAAATGAGATTCAAACTCGTGACCTTCTGTTTGCAAGTCTTTCTCTCTTACCAACCGTGTTATGTTACTCATTTTTAAACAATCAATAAACCTGAGAGACAGTGATTGATTTAATCTTTTTTTTCAAACGACAAAGTGATGAGAGCTTTGAGGACAAAATAAGTTATAGCAAGGTCGAAACTTAGTGAAAATCCGGATTTTCACATTGTTAGTTTTTAGTTTTTTACTTTTGTTTACGCAATTACCTCTTTTAAGGGATTGCTTCCTCATGTAAATGCCTATTTACGGATCGTATTTAATAAAAGTTCTTTTCATCCAAAATGGAGTTATTTTTTATTTTATTGCTTTGAATGCTAAATGTTTAATATTTTTTTCTTTCTATTGCATTTAAACTTGAGGTTCATAAAAATATGTTTGAAACATATGGAATTACTTAAGTGATTCAAGAAAGGAATATAGTTATTCATACCTTACCTGGGACATACGTGGTAATTTGAGCATTCGCAAGGACCATCATTTACTTATAAAGTGGTTACATGTTATTTCCTCCATAGTTGAGGGTGCAGTTGATTTATTCATAGATCATATCAACATTTACTTCCCCGGTAGGGCCCTCTCTCATACCAGCATTGTATATAAATTTGTATCATTGCATTCTCAAAATATGTAGTATATCCCGTAAAAAGGATCATTACATCATGAAAAGATCAAGCATGCATAAGAAGCATAAGTTATATTGTTCTCCCCCGCATAGCACAATCCAAAGATGTTTAACAGAAGATTAAAACTTTCATATTCCCAACAAGTCTTCTGGGTTGTTGATGACTTTAACATGTTGGTTTCACATTGTTCGAGTACCAAACGTCTTATTGGCCTCCCCAGAAAATTTATTAAGGAAAGCCCTACTCACCCAGCGAAAGCTTGAGTATTTTCGTTTTCACCTAACAATATCGTGGAGAAATCCTCTGATATTCCCCAATAGTTCCATATTGATTCTTCAACCAGTAGAGTCTATTGTGACTTCTATCGACAGTCAAGTCTTGTTGTGTTCCTCTTTCCCTAAAGAGTTGTTAATTCATATTGCCATTTTCCTTTCACAGTTAGAGCGCGAGTAAGAGTCAGTGTATAACCTTTCTTACTTGTCAATTAATTGAATATTCCTTACTCGGTGTTTGGGAAGCTCATATAATTTCCATTATTGAGGATTATACCCCGTCTTTGGCCAGTGGGATCAATATAGTTTTTTGCCACCTCTTGAAGCCCAACTTCGGTTGGAAAACTTTCAAAACCCAATCTCGATTGGTTACCCCTTTAAAATCCACCTTAAGCTGGTTTATTTGCTCTGTAAGTCCATACCAGATGGCGTTTGACATCTCTCAGTTTTGTAACATTTCCTCGATCTGAAAAGTAACATTTCCCTCTAGCAACGTCTCCTCGACCCAAAAGACACTCTCTTTTTTTAGCAGTGTTTCCCCGATAATCCAGCAGATCTTAAGTTATCACTCTCTCGTCTAAGTGCAATAACTTAGGGGGCTCCTGTTCTGGATCGGACTGGCACTTGGCCCATAGATGGGAAGGCCCAATAACAATGTCTTTATCTATGGCCCAATAGCTTTAGGCCCAAGTCAGATAGCCGTTGGGGATTTCCCCCACGTGCCCATTAGAGAACGTGTCCCTAGTCGCCATCAACCACCAAATGCCCTCAGAAAATAACGGATCCAGTGTCCCTATATTCTCGGGACGCTTTACCAGAGAGCAGACCACGTGCTGGACCCTATTACCCATGTAAACTCTGTTAGTCCTTGTTATTGGGCCCAAATCACTTGATCCACTATATGGATCTAAGACCAGCGCTGAGGGCTATAAGTACCCTCTCACATGAGAAGGTCAGGTATCCATTCATTCATTTATTCATTATACCTCACCTAATTTACTTGCTCTCGCTCTGAACCTCACTTTGACATCAGAGTATCTTGCAGATACCTCCTACTCCAAATTCAACCGCTGCTCAACTTGAAACTCTTGGATCTTGACAATCTCTTCTGATCAGTTATGATAAAAAACCAACAAAGTTTACTCAAATTTAAAATAACACAAATGTGTATAAAATATTAAATATTAAATATTAAATATTTTGTTGGTCCTTGAATCTATCTTCATCTCTTGTTGTGACCATCGACATCATATCTTCTTCTTCATGTTTTTCAAATTTTGCATCACTTTCTTGATTCTTTCGCTTTTCTGGACAATCACTCGAATAGTGACCATACTTTTGAAAATTGTAACATTGAATGTGACTCTTGTCAGGTTTTCGACCACCACCTCTTCCTTTATTTGCAACACCATCTCTCTGGTTGCCTTGGTATGGTCTTCTCTGATTTGACATGTTTCCTTCATTCTGGTTTCCTGTACCAGTCGATTTGTTGTAGCCGCCTCTACCTTATCAAACCATTTTCCTTTGCCTTTGGTTTATTTTGCTGAATGTGCCTGCAAAGCCACATTACTCTTCGACTTGCCTGCAACTCTTTTAGTTATTCTTTGTTCTTGAGATTCAAGCATCCCTTGAAGCTCTTACTTTGTCAATTTCGACAAGTCTTTCCCCTCTTCTATAGCCAACACCATGTGATCGAACTAAGGAGTCAAAGATCTCAAGATCTTCGAAACAACAACTCTTGTTATTAATGTTTCTCCATATACCTTGATTTCATTCACTAGTTTTATAACCCCAGTGAAGAAATCAGATATGTTCTCACTATCTTTTATCTAAAGCAATTCGTACGTACTCTTGTAAGTTTGTAACCTTACTTCTTTCACCTTTTCTGCACCACCAAAAGACTTCTCAAGAACCTCTCAAGCTTCTTTTGCAGATTCTGAATCACTCACTTTTTCAAAAATTTTTGGACTCAGACATTGATGAATTATAAAGAGTGCTTTATAACTTAGCTTCTTAGATTTTATGTGTTTCTTCTTTTCTTCTTCTGAAGTGTTTTCTCCAAGTGCTCCCAATCCATCCTTTACAGGATCCCAAAGACCTTGACACCTGAATAAAACTTTCATCTGTTTGCATCAATTCTCATAGTTGTCTACTTTCAGAATTGGTAGAGTTGTTGGATAATTTGCATTCCCATAACTCGCCATCGTGAATTCTTCTTCTTCCTCAATCGTTCTTGATCGATACTTTCCTTGAATCGATTAACCGAGATCTTGATACCAGATGTTGGAAATCTACCAAATATCTATGATGAATTTCTAACAATCTTGATGAATAAGATTGATATCACCATACAATGACAATGAATTATGAGGGAAAAAATAAAAGAAAGAAGACAATTATTTTCTGCAGAGTTTCTCTCTGCCTACAAATTGTGGAAAACTTATTAATCACTTGCAACTACAAATTCTGTGATTACAATGAATTGACTTAATTACAAATTAAGGGTTATTTCCTTTATTTATAGATTTAGGTTAACTTGCTCCTTAAGCTAAAGCCCAAAACTATAAAAGCCCAAAACACCTATTTTAGCACTAAATCAAATCTATCTATTTTAGATCTAAATCAAATTTATCTAAATCTAAAATCCATCAAATCTGTGTGTAGCTTGCTTCGATCCACAAGCTCTTCGACTAGGCAACTTCCCTTTGATACACACGCTGTTTTGACACAATTGAATTACAATTTAACACAATCAACATGCATGCAGTGATATACCCGGTATAACACCAAACACATTTATCAGCAACTTAACATAATAAATAAGAACCACCTATTCCAAAGTAATTGAGGGAATGCTTAACAGAAAAGTAATGACCTTCCAATGCAATAAGAACCACCACTTCGGAATTTCATTGTTTTTCAGGAAGGCTCTTGGAACATATATAAAAATTATATTTTTTGTATGCAGACATGTCTTTACTTTTAGGATGTTGGTGATTTTAGTATCACCAATGTATTTTAGTAGTAATGTGATTTACTAAAGGCCGATGCAATTATGCGTTAAGTTCGGAAACGAG